TGGGGCTGTCACTCAGCGGGGAGGACGGCGCCCTGTCCCCCCCGCTGTTATGGGAATATTGGACCGGCCCACCACGAACTGAAGCCCATTGATTACAGGCATAACTCCCAGCTGCCGTCTGCCGGTTCAGGATTGCCTGAGCCTGACGTTCTCATCCGAACTTCAGTGCCTGAGAAAACTGACAAACCCTCACCGCACACGGGAGCCGTACCCCATGACAGGAGAGATTCAATAATATGGATCAGACGCATTAATATTCATGAGCTCCCCGCCTGGCCCCGCCCATAAATAATTGGTAAGAATGACCCAATGGGGTTATAGGATCAGGGTTTGCAGGGATCCATTTCAGCTTCTGAGCATCAGAGCAGAGCCAGAGACCAAGTGGCTTTAATGAACAGAAGATGACGGAGCCCCCATCCATTTGCTGGTCTTAATTTTGCCACCCCCCCACACACACCCCAGCCAAAACCCCTTTCTCATACCGACTCCGGCCTTTATCATGCCAAAGCAAGCAGGCAAGCGCAGCCCCACCTGCCTGACAAAAGGCTTGAGAGACGGCTCGCTGTGTTTGAGGAATGAAAGCGGCCCGAGTGACTAACTCTTCCCCCCCGAGGCCTCTTACGTCTGCTTGGGCACCAACCAGGGAGCGAGAACACAGCATTTACGTCTGTACTGGCCTGTGCCGCATCCAGCAAGCAGAATTACATCTTATCAGGAAAAAATGATAACAGCTAGAGTTACACCACACACTGTGAACATACCACACACACTCACCGCCTCACACTAGCGCACATGGGAGACCCAGGTGACTAAGGAAACATTTCCAACTGCAATTCACTTTCAGCTGCATTCTTAATATGGGCACTGTTTTCCACGAGTACTACTTGTTCTCCTGCTTTGAAAGGTTCAAGGGATAATGATCAGTGTTTGTCAGTAATGGTATTCGGGGTTTAGATATGCGGCATCGACTGAAACCAGATCGATTCATTTGATTGATTGATTGATTGATTGATTGATTGGTTGATCAATTGGTTGATGGATTGAGATCAAATGTATCTCTGCAAAAAAAAAACACTGGGAGGTGTCTGAAAAGTATTTGGAAAGAAAAATACACAAATATATTCAGCCATGCCAAGCCAAAAAGAGCTTCATAATCCCGAGGGGGTAGAAGTGGGGGGGGGGGGTATCTAGCATATTCTCCCATATACAATTAATCTTTTCTGCAGCCACATCTCCTCTGGGGCTGCTCGGCGTCCTGCGAGATGGCCAGCTGCGCCACTCAGGCGGCAACAGGAGTGAGGACCAGTAACCAAAATCCCCAGGGGAAAGCCAGGCATGTGGGGGCCGTGAGGCCAGCTATCCTCGGCGTGTCGTGGCGCCTGCAGGAGTCACCGGCGTAGGAACAGCTGAATGGCTGTACTGCCCACACTCCTCTCATCATTATCATTATTATTATTAGGTCGTCAAGGCGACTGCTGGCGACCATAGAGATAGAATTCCTCCATAATCATCCATCCCTGTCTTCAGGGTTCTGAAAGGAATCTTCATGGTTGTGATCTTACCTTCAAAGGAGAACCGAGAGCTTCTGAAATCCCCAGACTTTCTCGCACATGCCCCATTCCGCCCGCTCCTCCTCGGCCAATGGGCAGCCTGCTTTTCTGTGTGGGAGTATTTCACCAGTGTTAATCGATAATGTTAGGTGCAGAGTAGAATAGGGTCACTTCTAGGAGATGCAGCAACAGTTTCTGTGCTATGGTATGGAGACAGCAGGCCAGTCTGGGAGCCTTGGTTTTCTGTGTAAGTCCAGCAGGAAGAAACATATGCTACAGACATCACACCAAAAATATACAGAAAACAAGAAAGACCAGAGAGGTAGTCACAGAAAGTGTCGGGGGGGAGGGGGGCACTGTCTGTCTGGGAGACAGGTGACCAGAGTTGTCTTCTGTTTTGTTTGGCACCCAGTAACTAAGGGTGTCGACTTCTGAACTGGCAACTCCTTTTTTCCAGCCAAAATGACAACAGATATTTCATTTTTTGTAGCACTGTATACTGTACTGTACAACGGCCCCTCTCTAATCCCGCTCGCACACCCTGACAGGTCACATCCTGTCACATAGCTTTGCCTGAGAAATCTTCAAAAAAAAAAAAAAAAGGAAAAAGAGAATTAACAGGCAACAAGGTCATCGTGCGATGTCTTCAAACCGTCATCATGGCGAAGATATCCCTTCAGCGTTGACCAAGAGTGACTTCCCTTGCTGGGAACACGACAACACTGTGCGGAAACTCGTTTTCGAGGGATGTGACAGCGCAAGAACACGCCGGCTGCTTTGAACTGTCACGGAGACGCGCGGCCGGCCGGGATTCACCAGGAAGGGACAGCCGTCAGCACGCTTAGGTTCTCCCAGAACTTACTACCCCTGACACCTAATGCAGATTCATCTAGAAGGGGCACCAGCGTTCCCTTCAGATAAGATACATTTGCTATCTCTCTGTTTGCTCTACAACTCATTGACTGGCTGCTGAAGGTCGGAGGTCAGGATATCAGTGCAAGGATCTGAGGCTGCTATTTGAAGATAGTATGTAAGTATCAATCTTTCCACGCTGAAGCATTAATAAAGTCTATTTCAACTGATCCCACCTATTTGTACTCATTCCACAATAATTATCAACTCTACTCTATGTCCAAGGTCAAGTAAAGTCAGCCCAGTACAAGCCAGTCATGCTAGTGTCTGTTGTGGTAGCATTTACCGTCACACAAACCACATGTTTGCGTGGCGCCTCCTGTTGGCCACAAACAGCGATTACACTAAATATTACATAAATGCATTTCTTACTTATGAGACCCTGAACCAGCATGCACTGTCAAGCGGCCCGCTAGCAACGATCTTCTGACTCTACTCACTAGCTACCGGTAACGTTACATGCGACCATAAAGTGATCACATCCCAGCGACGGCAAGAAGGGAAAGCAAATCCAACACAGCAAGTGACTAACAGGACGTCGGCCGAAGCTGAACAGTTTCTTTGCCACAAACAACGAAACGCACGATGAAACAACCAGCGCGCCTCAGAGTTGTCAGAAAGCACAGCCTTGTGCTTCACATGGCACAGAAGGGGCAGGTCGTCTCTGGGCTCCAGCATAAGGAGCCATCCCGTAACGTAATGTAACGTAACGTGACGTTCATCCCCCGCTGCTCCAGTCCCGTTCCCCAGACAGATGTGACACATTCAAACCAGGAGCACTGAAGCAAGTCATTCCCTAACAGAAGGGTGCAAATAAAAAAGTTTTAGCCGTCTCCCATCTGGGAGATTTCTTTCCCTTCGACTTTTAAACACATTTGTCATCAGCAAACCATTAAGCAAAGCAGAGAGCAGTGGAGCAGGACTTGCCTCATGTTAATATTTAATTCCTGCACTCCGAAGGATCTTCTACTAGGTCCATCAGTGCCTGGAAGGTGTTAACAGTGAGGAGCATTAATTCGCTCAGTGCTCACCTGCCCACCCCCATGGCCTAAGCAGTCGATACCGGCATTACTGAAACACCCCCACTGGATAAATTACCAATTTGTGTTTTTCCTAAACGAGAAGAGCAGGCCATTCAACAAAGCAACACAGCCGTTAAATGAATATGGTCGCAACAATGCCGCCTTTATCGCCACGGAGATGGAATCCTGTAGTGTCACTCATTTCCGAACAAAGACCTCTTGAAAAAGACACAAAAAGACAAATTCGTAATGAATTGTATTCCACCGCCGTTACTATACTATAAGGAGTATTTAAGTCTGTGCTCCCCTTTGGTCATTTCTAATGCAGTCTGTATTACTCTGGTCAGCTTCCTGATGCAGACAGTCCCCATGTTACGAACGTGATCTGTTTTTCAGTCAAATTTGTACGCGAATTGGAAAAATAATACAGTACATAATAATATTATAGAGTAATAATACTAGTAGCTACATACGGTACTGTACTGTATCCTGAGTTAACGAACCGCTGAAGCCATGCAGTGTTTTTACAAGTGTCACAAAATATTGCGTGCATTCGTTATTACGAACCATCGTATTTAACCCAGATTTTTTTATGGCAGTCTGTTCGTGAGTATGAGTTTGTAGGTTGGACCTGGGAACTGCCCGTATTATCAGGCAGAGCCGCTCAGTAGGTGGCGCTGTAGCCTCATTCCTTTGGTTTTTGGGGGGGTATAAATGGCATCGGCTCTGCCGGGGCAGCGTTTGTGTGCTTAGCCACCTCTAACGCTCTCATCTCCACCTGAAATCCCACAGCACGTGGCTCCGGTGAGCGTGTGCATTGCGATAGACAGGCATCCTGTGCAGGGTGTCTGCTGAAAGTCACATGTCCTTTGGGCCCTTGAGCAAGGCCCTTAAGTCCCCGGAAAGCTCCATAGGTGCTGGGTAGATGGCCTGACCCAATGCTCAGACTCCAAACTTCACCCTCACATGTATGTGTGTGTGTCAAAGCAGTGCATGATGGGATATGGAAAAAGAAACTTTCAAATACACATGCGCAAATACCGGATGAAGTACCGTTTCGTTTTCATTCACCCTGCGCAGGCTACACAGTAAAGGAAGATAGATGCATCATTATTATAATTATCATTATCATTAATAACATAGCATATCAAGAGGATTTAGTATCTATACCTTTAAGGGAAAAAAACAGTGAACCCCCCCAAAACAAAAACGAGCGGGAGTGCAAGTGGGGAAGTGGCGCATGTGGCGCACAAACACAAATGATTTAATGAGGCAAAAACGCCGAGTACCGTGGCTAATATAATAGCTCATAATAGGTAACTGGTTATGTAACAAACCACTTACGCACTTGCAGACTAGTCACGTAAAGACATTTAATTTGGCTTTTAGCACTTGGCATCATTACAGGGCAAGTACCTCCCATTGGGAAATTTAATCTTTTAATGCTCTAAAAGTCCATAAAAATTGCATCTTATATGTATGTGTCTCTTTTTTAATACACAAGCAGGCTCATCGCTGCAGATAGTAAAGTTGTTTATTTTCCAACAGTAACATTTCAAAAAACATTTTAACAAATAAAAATGGTGATTAGTGGAAGAGAATGAGAATAAACACGGAACCGGTTCTCCCCTTCAACGCACAGTTGCCGTACGCCGTGCGCGCGTGACGATGTTCTCTTCCTAAGGGTCTGTGCGGCCCGGACACAAAGCCCGGCGCTGCCTATACGGAAATGGCATGTTAGAGCAAGAGCTCCACCCAGTGGAAGAGGTAGGTGTTTGCAGCCAAACTGTCAACACAAGCTTACAGGTGGGAAAAAAAAAAAGAAAAGAAAAAAACTGTCTTTAGAAAAACTTTATAAATGATCATTATAAAAGTACGGCGTTTAGAAAAATGCTTCTCAGAAAACACAATAAAATTCTGATCCACAGCACAGCTGTAATAATATAATATAAAAAAAAAAAAATTAAAACTAGACTAACAAATTGATCAATTAAACTTTTACTTCTTAAATATTTCATTCCCTTCCGGTGTAATCACCATCCATCCATCCATCCATCCATCCATGCTTGTTATATGCAGGGTCGCGGGGGGTCCGGAGCCTATCCTGGGGGCTACAGGTGCGAGGAAGGAAGCAACCCAGGATGGGGCGCCAACCCATCGCAGTGTTGTAATAATACAGTTCTTCATTTAAGAGAGACATTTCAGGAAAAATAAGCACAAACATTTCTGGGGGCTTCGCATGTCTTTAGAGTGGAAACAAAATGTACGTTCTCCCAAAACCGTGACCATAAATGTAAAAACTCCAGCTGCACATGTACATCACAACACACCCAAGCAAGGACTCGCGATAATGAAACGAGCCAATGAAAATGGAGCGAAGGCAAGCGCACATGCATCTTTGTTCCAGATGGGGGCAGCAGATCCAGCTTTTATTTAACTTTTCCTGTCTATTTTTCTGCTTTTCATTGTTTCTCCTGAGCCGTTTGTCCTGGTCTCTAACAGACAAGGTGCCGTCCATTAAAAACACGTGTACGTTGCTCTGTGGTGAAACAAATCGAACCCATCAGGTCACTCCTTCCGGAGAAATTGCAAAACAGTGACAGAGCAGAAATAACGGTAGCTCAGTAAAAAGTCATACTCATTGCACAAAGCACACATAAAAAGTACAAAAAGACACATTTGATAATTACAAACCCATTAAATTAAGCCACACATTTAAAAGTAAAAACTGAATAGCTTTAACATGTAGCTAAATTAAATTCTAGATGATTCTTTTTGACCCCATTCAGGATGTTTCCCTGCCCTGCGCCCTGTGTTGCTTGAGACAGGCTCCGCCCCATGCCCACGGCCCCTCCTCTGCAACCCTCTACTGAGTAGGAAATGGATAGATGCAATCGATGCAATTACATTTTCATGTATAATTAGTATGATTCTTCATGCTTCTCTTTATTGAGGTCCACTATACCTCATCATAGATGGACATCAAACACTTCATTTTCCAGTGATTCCAGATCCTCTTCTTTGATTACTAAAGGAGGACAAGCAGACAATCAGACCATGGCTCACCAAGGACGCACCCTGAGGCACCAGCTGCATTATGGGTTAGTAAAGAATTTTGCAAAAAGCCAAGAGGCCGTGGGGTGATTCAATATGCAGGAACTGTTTGTATACAACAGCAGACATATACAAATAACGGAAAAGGTAAATCAGGCCACGTACTGTAAACACACCGAACTGCTCAATTTATCGAACACTTTAACAAAATTTATCATTTAAAAATGTCAGACCTGAGCCAAGATGGCCGCCCGCGTACCTTTCTTCTGCAGGCCGGATGGCTGCGCCTGATTGGCCGGCGGGGGGAAGCTGTAGGAGCGCGAGTAGGGGAAGAGGGGCCGATCCTGACTGATGCTCTTGGTCCGCTTACGGCACTCCACAGAAAGGTGGCTTCGGCAGCCCTTGTGACAGCTCACGCCACAGGCTGTAAGCGTGTGCGTGAGACATGGAGAGGCAGAAAGCCGAGGGGGGGGGGGAAAAACAACACAAAAGAATGCATTTTACACTTTCCTTCCTCTCCATCTTAGAGTGACTCAGGGCAAAGGCTTCTAACCGAAGGTCCTCTCGGAAGGGCAGCCTCATTTCCGAGAAATCGTACGACAAACCGGGTTCAAATACAATGTCTGCAAAAAATTAACACGGCGGCGTCGGACACTGACAGACATTCAGGCACGTCGCACGCAGACCTTCACGCCGAGATCGATGGAGGCGAACTTCTCCTCAGCCAGTTTTCCCGATCGCCCTTCAGCCGACTCCGCGTTCAGACACATTCGGCAATTACGCGCCGTGACACACAATTAGTTTCAATTATCCTCGACCCACCTCCCCCCCCCCCAACAGTAATGGTAATTAATGACTCGCTTCAGAATTCCATCCCCGGTGATGACAGAGACTTAATTATTGTGCAGAAGGAACCGATCACCCAATAAACACATAAGAATGATACACAATTTATCAGTGGTTTATCAGTGTGGATGCGGAAGTTCAGCCGGGGGATGGAGAGTATTTGAAACCATTCTGTCATCCATATCCTCTGTATCCGTACTTACATTTATACGGCCGTTCCTTGTATCTACTTGTTCTAATTTGCACGCTATTGATTATTAATTCAATTCAGTTCAATTTCCTTTTATATAGCGACTTTCACAACGGAGTCACCCCAAGGTGCTCTGCATGACACAGTGTGTGGCGATCCGTCATTACGCCATTGGTAGAGAATGGGGGAAAGAGGAAGAAGGAAAGCCAGACGACAACGGGGGCGAGGAACCAAAACCTCTCCAGTGGAGAGAAAAAAAATAAACCTCTGGGGGTCCAACGTCAGGTGGCTGCCCCCCCCCCCCAGGTATGCTGACATTGTAGAATAGGGGGGGCCTGCTTTAATGAGAGCAAGGTGCATTACAGTGCTGTGTGTCACCACTGTCTGCATGCCTCCTATTTGCACTATTGTTTATATTTGCACTACGGGCAATCCCTGGGATAAGTACATCCGACTTACGGGCAACTCGTACCCACGGGCAACTCGTACCCACGGGCAACTCGTACCCACGGATGGACTGTCATTCAGCCCGTTATAATAAACACGATAAATACAATGATTTGTAATAACGAACACACCTGCTACTACTTTATGACACTCGTGAAAACATCGTTTGCTTGAGGTTCAGCTCCGTATGTGGTTACTTTTACTACTGTAATATTATTATTATTAATTATTATTATTATCATTATTATTAATATGTTCTGTATTATTTTTCTGACTTACCTACAATTTCAATTTAAAGACTCGTTTGTAACCGGGGAACTGCCTGTACGTCGTTGTCGCGGTTATGGACACTGACCTGCACGTACCGATCTGATCTGATATACCCAGAAATACCAGCATGAACGTCAAGCCTGCTCAAAGCGACTGGGCCCGTCTTACCTTTACACTTGTATCCTTGCTTGTAAAAGCCCCATATCTGAAAAGAAAACGACAATAATGCCCTTTCATAATAGTCTCGGCGGAGCATTTCGCATTTAAATTTCAACAGACCTTCACTTGGTCAAACATAACATGTTTCCATTACTCATGCCCAAAGGCGCTGTGACACGAGGCACATCTGTAAGTAAAAAGATAAAACGTGTTTTTGGAAGGGGATTAGAGAGGAGACGCTAGAAGGTCACTGCAGAGCAACGAATGATAAGGGGATGAGCAAATGTAAGTGGAAGTATTTCTTGGTTTTTCTCCATACGTACATTTTAATTATAATGCGCCTTTCAAGAAATAGCTACAATTATTCTGTCACCGGCGACGGCAATTTCGTCTAGCGTTTACCCTAAGCATTTTATACGCCCAGCAGTAAATACAAGTGGTATGAATGTTGGTGGGGGGTGGACCTGCTTATAAAAACAGGCCCCTCCTAGTCGTACTGAAATGTTATGATTCAGGAGAGAAGCGACCGGGGAACAAACTGTTCCACCTGATTCAGCAAAACCGCATCACACGACGAGACAAGGGAGGAGTATATTTTTTTGTTTATGCTATGCTGGTCAAGCTGAAAAAAGGGGAACAGTAGATATTGTGTTTGGCCCCAGGCCAACAGGAAGCCAGAGACAGGAAATATTTTAACTGTTTTTCTGTTATTTTTTTTCTCTTCCTTCATACTTAATCAAAACACCATTGCACAATACATCTACAAGCCCTTTCATCAGTAAGCTGACATTAAATATATATGCAGTACAGAGCAGATGTCTTAGTCCATCAAAGAAAATGTTTAAAGCAATTAATCTGCATAGAAAATGTATATTTCCTCAGAAAAAAAGGCATTTTAACATTGTGATATTCGCAAAACAAAGAGTAACACAATAAAAAAATAACAAGAATTTCTTCTGTTCTCAAAAAAAGTTACTGATATGTTGTTGGATGGCTAGATGAACACTGCCTCAGTTCCCAAACCTCTCCTCAGGGGCACCTCAGCCATTCCATGTGTTTGTTACCAACCACTACCAGCTGACTTCATTAATTAATGTAACTAGTTAAGTAACTCAATGAGGTATTCATTAGGCTAACATGACTTGTTAGCGGATGAGTCAGCAGACACATAGGTATATTGGAGGGTTAGGAGATGTAAAGGTTTGAAGAGCTTTCGAAATGGCTAATGTAATACACTTTGACAGACATAAAATCATAGGCTTACATAAACATAAAGAATTGCCTTTGGCAGCCTGAGACTTTTGTGCAGTACTGCATATTTTTTATATGACAAATGGCAAAAAAAAAAATCTAACAACCCTTGGTAACTCCTAACATTTATAAGTGTGAAGGCAACTAGGCACTTTCCAGGAGGTGAGAGACCTCAGAAGGAGGGGACAGTGTAATGAGGGCTATTCCTCGAGACCGTAAGGCGGGGCTGGGCGATACCACACCGTGATGCAATCTGGCGCATGCACAATAATCATCAGGGGCCAGTTCCACAAAGCAGGGTTTCTTGCTTAGCTGGATAACTTGTTGGATTTAAGGTAGTCTGGGGTAAATATAAGTGAACAAAGATAAAGTCCATTTAGCCCAGACTACCTTAAATCTGACAACTTATCCGGCTAACCAAGAAATCCTGCTTTCTGAAACAGGTCCCAGGGCTTTGGATGATGGGTGCAAACAATCGTCCGGACGTCAGCTTTTTGTTACGACACAGACGTATATACTTACTACTGCAATTAGGTAAGCAGATTAGTAGTACGCCTAAAAATTGAGAGGAGTATTGTGACGCCAAAGAGTTAGTAATCTGTATAATTTCGCTGTACATTTATGTTCATTAAATTTAATTAGCGGAGCGCCACATGCTACTGTTTTGGTAAATCATGGAAGCGATAAGCACTGAAGTGGTGGTGAAGAAAGGGACAGATCAGCAGGCACAAAATAAAAAATTAAAGAGAGATATTGAGGATATTGAGGAGATATTGAGGATAAACAAGGCAAAAAGATATCAGTGGTGTTATGGTACTTTTTGCAGTTTAAAGTCAGACACGTTAATTAAACATAAGGATATGCCAAACTTATACAGATTACTAACTTCCGGGCATCACGATATGCTTCTCATTAATATGTTAAGTGCACTGCTAATCTGCTTACCACATTGTGGGCGTAAGTAAGCGTCCATATAGTACCGAATAGCCAGCATCCGGTCAAATGATCTGAAGCCCTGCTGATTATTGCGAATGCACTGCATAATTGGGATGCGATATCGTGCAGCACTGCAGCAAGGCTTCAGACGCTCTGACCAACACTGTCGGTACTCACCAGTCCTGCACAGTGAATGCAGAAGGTGGGCTTGACGTAGTTGGACTCCACAAACGTGTGGATGAAACCCATCTTGCAGTTGAGCAGGGAACTCGCTTTGGTGAAGTAATCGATCATCTCCTCCCTGCTGATTTGCCCGTCCCTATGGAGACGACATTCAGTGACTGCTTATCATGGCCTGCCCTACACTGCCACCCTCATTTATATATCTATCAAGATCTCATTTTTAAACTAATGAATGACAAGTTCTTGAAGGCATTTTCAAACCTACTACTCTGTGTGTGTACGGATGAGACAAAACATGATCACCACCCCAATGTGAAGCAAATAGTGTTGAAACCACAAGCCTTGCCATTCTGGAGATTTCTTTGGAGATGTCGGCTATGAATACTGAATATGAGCTTACCATCTAATATCTCCTAGATCTTGACAGACACCATTTTTCAGGGATAGTCAACAATACTTGCTTCATGTGGGAGTGTCATGTGGTGCATGCATGTGTCATGTGGTGCATGCTTGTGTCATGTGGTGCATGCATGTGTGTCAATGCAAATCAGACAGAGCTACAGGAGGCAGCTGGAGATAGCAAGGTCGATGTGAGGAGGAAAAGGACTCACTCGTCTTTGTCTAATTCCGTGAATTTGCTGAGGTAGGGGAAATTGCTCCTTATGATCTCAAATTCTTGCTGGGAGATCTTTCCATCTCCGTCCGTGTCAAAGTTTTTGAAGACTGACTGGAAAACACAGACAGTTCGTCAACTGAAGCCCATGGCTCCCATAACTGGAGGGAGTCTAGATATGCGGCAGGCAGCAAACGCTCGCAGTGGAGAATAACGAAGATGGCCGACTTAGCCGTGAGAAAGGAGATTTTAAAAATCGGAAAAATCATGTTCTGAAAAAAAACACACGTTTAACAAGCTGGGGAGTCCACTGGGACACATAAGATTCACTGCTTCTGGGTATTTCTGCACAAACAGCAGACTCTCTTCAACAAAGGCTTAGGCATCAGAATCTATTGAGCAGCCTTTAAAAAAGTAACAGACTGGTAAAAAAAAGACCAGGTTAAAAAAAGCTGGTGGGCGCATCATCCTCATAGCTTAGTGGTTGTAAGTAAATGACAATAACTAGCTAAACTAAACTATGAATACATTAGTGATAAATCAGAGGAACCGACAAGTGTGAATTAAAGATATTTTTAATCTTTTCGTGTATCATACATTTTTGTTGTATATTTCGATAAATCTAAATACAAAACATATACGTTAAGACAGTTAATGTTAGAAGTTACAGTGACCCGTTTTTTTAATTTTCTATTTTATTTTAATCGACATTTAATTGGTCTGCACCTGGCTTCCCCAAATATCTGTCCCGACTCTAAGCCGTAAGGAGCAAACCCTTCTCAGACACATTCACATTCACGTCCCTCAAAGTGGGCAAACGTAACCATGGCGACGTTACCTCCACCATCTTCTCAATATGCTTGCTGATGATGGCCGGGTCGGCCTTGGGCTTCACAGAAGATGCCCATTCTTCAATCACCGAGGGCTGTGTCTCGGGCCCGGAGGCAGGGCTTGGGACCTGGCCAATCAGTGAACACTATCAGGTCAGCGCGGAAGACAAGAGCTCTGTTTTCAGTGACTCATTACCTACTGATCAGCTCTGGAATCGCTCCACCTCTGCTTATCTCACGCGACCGGTAATTAGCGCTGAAAAAAGGCCAAAGAAATGCACAGAAACGTAGAAGATAAAGCATGGCGGTGCTGGGGAACTTCCTGCATCGGGGCCAGTAGGATGAACCATGTGACTCACAGAAGGGGAAGAGCAGAATGGGGACTTTAGATTTAACCCAGTGTTTCCCAGTCTGGTTCTTGGGGACCCAGAGACAGTCCACCTGGAGCTGGGAGGGAGCAAAAACATGGATTGTCTGTGGGTCCCTGAGGACCGGATTGGGGAACAATGGGTTAACCAATCGGTGGAGAGGAAACAAAAAAAGGTATTTGATAAAAGCCCCCCCCCCCACGACCATATAAACATCAGCGCAGAACGTTTCAGGTTGGTGGAAGACCTTCCTCCTGTGTGTGAACTAGGCCAGAGACAGCACTTGAAACTCCAGTCAATTCAGCGTCATGCATATGCATCACCTACTGACTTTTAATCACAGATGCCAACCAGCAGGTTACAGCTGGGGGGGGGGTCATTTTCTGTGCTCTCTGGTGGACATGATGAAAGCCAAGTTACTCGAGCATGGAAATCTGTTCTTTTATCAGAGTTCCCGTTACAATGGGGATCGGAGCTCAATTCAATTCAATTCATTTATATATAGCGCCTTTAGCAATCCCAAAGGAACTTTTCAAGAGTGAGTGGCAATGCATTATTACATCACTTATACAGAATGGTGCATGAAAAAAGGAAGAGCGAAATACGGAACGAATGCCAGAAGATAACAGAGGAGAGGAACCAGAAACTCACAAGAGGGGAGGAAAAAAAAACCTCCAGGGGTCCAAGGTCAACTGGCTGGCCAGCTCCTCCCCAGAGGAAGAAGGAAAATGAGGCTCCTTTAATAAAAACCAGGCTGACTGTACATACAGCAGTGCGTACTCACCAGGGCCTTGCTGTTACGGGGCTCCCTCTGCAAGGACAACTGGTAGATCTCCTCTTCGGTGTGGTACTGATCCAGTGACACCTGGGGAGGCGAACGTGCGGCAGATGTAAGGATCCCCCCCCTCATCTACAGCTCAGTGCCCACTCCGCCCCCCCATCTGTCCCACCACATGCGTACAGACCGTAAGGAGGTTCACGAGGTCCGGGTTGGCGTCGATGCTGGGAGGCGTGCTCTGGATCAGCGCCAGCTCCTGCAGGATGACGTAAAGCTGTCGGGTCTTGACGAGGTTGACTTGCATCTTGGCCTTGTCGGCCCAGTCGGGCAAAGCCACATGGACGGCTATGAGGTCCTTCAGGTGCACGCCCAAGATGGGGAAGCGGAAGCCCGTGCATTCTGAGAACCTACGCCGGTACTGGCTGTAGTTCCCACAGGACGTCACCAGCTCTGTGAGGTTCTGAAAGGTCTGCAAGAGATCGGGGCCACGAGTCAGGATTCTCGGTCACCATAGCGATGAGTAAGGCTGGGGTTAGGATTGCACACTGCCATAACAATGAGTAAGGTTAGGGTTAGAATTCTCAGTCACCATAGTGATGAGTAAGGTTAGGGTTTGTGTTAGGATTCTAGATTGACATAAAGATGAGTAAGGCTGGGGTTAGGATTCCACATTGCCATAACTATGAGTAAGGTTAGGGCTTGGATTGTAGGTCACCATAGCGATGAGTAAGGCTGGGGTTAGGATTGCACATTGCCATAACCATGAGTAAGGCTAGGGCTTGTATTGTAGGTCACCATAGCCATGAGTAAGGCTTGGGTTAGGATTGCACCTCACCATAGCTTTGGTGTTACTCTTCCTACTCTCACGGCCTGTGGAGCAGCTTCTGCTTTATCAGTAAACACTGAAACTTTTACTCAAAATATGCAAAAAAGGGAAGGGGCGCTGTGCCTGTGATCAGCAGGTCGTCAGGTCAAATTTGAGTCAGCCGAGTGATTTCACCATTGGGCCCGTGAGCAAAGCCGGTAACCCCCAACTGCTCAGGGACTAAAAAATACATCGGCTAAATAAATGTCACGTGAAAAGTTTTTATGTTTTAACATCTTTGTCCAACCCATTTTAACAGCGAAAGCACACCAACCCACACCGCATTTCAGGCTACATTTAACCCACTGTTCAGTTTGAGCCTCGCAGCTGCAATTTAAACACGCATGAGTGTCTAATTTAGGGCCGGGTAGGCGAGGGGCGTCTTTTGGGTCGGGGGCAGGCGGGCGGACGACCTTGTTGGCCTCACTGCCGACGTGCGTCTGCGTGTCTTTGAGCCGCGACACGGAGCAGTTACTGAGGCCTCCCACCACCGCCATCAGCGTGTTGAAGTTCTGCAGCTGCAGCAGTTTCTGCGTGAGAGAGAGAGGGAGAGAGAGAGTGAAGTGAAGAAGTGGCTGAGTCCGAGGTGGAAGAGATGAAGGTAGAGATACGTCAACGAGAAGAAGTAAAAAGCAAAAAAAGTAAAAATAAAAGGAGACTAGGGGAATGTCAAAAGGGTGTGTGAGTAACTGTCAAGAAGAACCAGAGATAAGGAAATGATGGACTGGAGTAAAGGGATTTCAGAATTTATTGGGGAGATCAGCGGGCTGGTGTTCTCACTGGAACTGTAGCTGGGATACAGAATTTACCGACAGCCCCCAGTATCAATCAATCGGCACACTCACCATGATTAGGGTGCTATCGGATCACGAATCAGAACCAACAGCAAGCACCTATGCTGCCTACTGAGCAGCTGTGACAATACCCAGAATGCTCTGCAGAGGAACTGCGTACAGCCGACAAAGGGCCTTGTGCATCTCGGGCTTTCCTCCGTCTTTGTCCTCCATTTCAGCTCCACATGTTGTTTGACTACATCTCTTCTGCCATATCTTTCAGATATACAGTAATTCAGTACTTAGTAATGATGAGTATCACCTCCGAACCGCACAGGGGGGCCTGGGACCGACCCCAGGCAGCGTAGCGCACGGGCATCCAATCATACACTACAGGCATGTTTTTCGACTGGAAGCGCACATGACACAAGGAGAACATGCAAACTCGACAGCCCCGGCTCTGGAGGAGTGAGGAAACGGTGCTGCCATGCCAGCCAATCAGAATAAACACTACAGATTTCTGTTCACTGATTGGACCACTAGGAATGAGTCTGAATAAAGGCCATCAAGCCCAGATCTTACAGGTAGTTTCACAGCTCAGCTTCACACTGTCAACCAGGTAACAGACATGCTGTTATTGAGGCAGCATTCCATAGGGCTGGACCCCCAGCCCCGCCCCTTATCACTGACCTGAGCCACCGTGATGAACTGGGTGATGACCGCAGCCCTCTGCAGAGCTGTGGGCTTACTGAGCACCATGAGCTGGATCCACTGGGAGACGCTGTTGAAGAGGGTGATGAAGCGCTCCAGGATGGGGTTGTCCACGGTGCAGCCGTGCATCACAAAGCTGTGGTAGTCCTGGAACTGGAGGCCCGCCGACCAGGTCAGGGGACACAAGGTCAGGTAACGCAGCCAGCCACACCCACCAATGGCCGGCCCCTCCCACCACAGCCAACCACACCCACCAATGGCCGGCCCCTCCCACCACAGCCAACCACACCCACCAATGGCCAGCCCTCCCACCACACAGCCAGTCCCACCCACCAGACAGCCAGTCCCACCCACCAGCATCTTGCAGAAGGACTTGTACTCCAGATAGGTCAGATGCTCAGCCAGCTCGTTGGCATCCAGGTGATCGAAAAGCAGAGACATCTTCCTTTTCTTGGAGGTGGGGGCGAGCTTGGTGACCTGCCGCTTCCACTCGTACGACGGCCTGAAGGACACAGTGGTGCCCAACCACATATTTGAACGTGTGTGACAGAGACTGCGTTTGGAGTAACTTTTATATATGTAGGTCTGGGTTTAGCTATGACATATCACAAATTGAGAAGATCATCAGAAATACCAGTGCAGTCCCAACAGTTACGTTTGTCTTAGGTATCTTTGCTAAATAATCAAAGGTCACAAATCGAAATCCGGCTCCATTCTGAGCCCAGAAGCAGCCTTGGGGGATGTTCCAAAGTCTGCCCTGCATGGCTGTCACACAGCGCATCTACCTTAACCTCAGAAAACACTAGTATGTCGTGGGCCCTTCCAAGGGCAGCCAAGGGAAACCTACACACTCTCGATGTCTATCAGCTGGCTCTGATGCTCGTCCCCCTCCCGGGCGAGCAGATCCTTGAGACCTCTGATCTGCTCAGAAAGTTCTGGATTTAAGCCGAACTCGGCGGGAAACTCCGAGATCCAGTACCTGCAGGGCGGGGCGGCATGCGGAGGGTTAAGTGGGTCCACGGCGTCACACGCAGACGGTGCTGACGACACGCAGGTTACGATACGCCTTTAAGGTTTACACGGCTGTCTGATTATTCAGTTGGTATGTAATAAACATAACAGAGGTGACGGGTGAAACAAATGCATTATCAACACTAGCAAAAATTATTATTATGGTTAAACAAATGTACATTAAGCAGATAAATCTGTAAGATGCCAGGGGCTTTGGGGGGAATTTATTGGATGGTTTGATCTTACTTTACTAGGTGACAAATTTTTGTCCTGTAACTGGCGGAGCAGTTTTTCTCCCTGGACCTGTGACATCATTAAGGAAGGTGGGGGCTCCATATGGGTGGAGTGGGGGGTTGGGGGGGGGGGTTATGAGGAGGCGTAGAGGCGCTCTGAAGGATACTTCTGGAGGAGCTTCTTGGCCAGCTCGGCGGAGGGGAGGTACCAGGGGTGCATGGTGAGGAACATGCGGACGTGGGACTCCTCCCTCGAGGCGCCGTCGTCATCTGAGAGAGGACTTGCATCACTGTCCACCATCACAACCCCGCATCACCACACCCTCCTGTGTCAGCGCATCACCGTCATACATGCGAACTCTCCGCTCCCCCCCCCCTACCACCCCCAGCACAGTGTGGAATGACAGGCCTCATTGTTACAGCCTCCTACTAAACGATCATTCAAGCTTCTCAAACAATGTTAAAACTGCGGCTATGTAAAATATTTCGAAATCCTGCACACGAGCCGCTATGAGCGGAGATGAATAGGTCAGGCTTTATTCTAAGGCAGAATAAGCTGTGAACTCTGTGTTCTTTCAAACCAGCTTGCTTTGCTTGCCCTATCCATTCCACACTTTCAGCTCCTTCTACAGCTCAAAATTTCAAAGCAGCAATTGATGGTGCCTTCTCTCCCTGAAGAACCCTGTCTCTGAGGTAAGCTCTCGGTGAGGTACCCTGTCTCTAAGGGCATACCCTGTTTATCATGTACTCTCCCCCTGATATACCATCTGAGGTACCCTGTCTCTAAGGGCATACCCTGTTTATCATGTACTCTCCCCCTGATATACCATCTGAGGTACCC